AAACAATATGGAATATGCACAAGGGTCTCTCGAGTATTTTTTTGTGACCATTTACTAGTTCGTTTTGTGGATCATTTTTTATTTTTTTTGGTGGGTGCCCGAAAGGAAAAAAGGCGTTAATTTTTTTTTTTTTTTCTTGCAGTACAACACAATGCAAATGATGTACGGGACGATCTACAAGGCTTTGCAGGAAATGGGGCTCGAAAACGAGTATGAACCGAGTGATTACTTAAATTTCTTTTGTCTCGGGAATCGTGAAACTGAAGGTGGCGTGAGCAAGCCCGAATTGAAAGGCCCGGCTGGAAACACTCCCCAAGTACACTCTCTTTATCCGTACGATTTTGTCTTTTGGCTTGCTGTGTGAAATTGACTTCTGAAAGTCGTGATGTTGTTGTTCCTTTCAGGCACTCACTCGAAAAAACAGGCGCTTCATGATCTACGTACACTCAAAGGGAATGATAGTTGACGATGAGTTTGTTATATTAGGTTCGGCTAACATTAATCAACGCTCTCTCGAAGGGACGAGGGACACTGAAATTGCCATGGGTGCATATCAGCCTCATTACACGTGGGCTACAAGGCACGCTAATCCACACGGACAGGTAAAAAACGAGCTTTATTAGTTATTACCATTTTTATCCATTTTATCCGGAAAAAAAAGTTACATATAATTTTTTTTTTCTTTCTGTTTTTTTGTTTTAGATTTACGGATACAGAATGTCTCTGTGGTCGGAGCACACGGGCACTTTGGAAAAATGTTTCGAGCATCCGGAGAGTTTGGAGTGCGTGAGACGAGTAAGGTGGATGGGTGAGCTCAACTGGAAACAGTTTGCGGCTGAAGAGATAACCGAAATGCGGGGCCACTTATTGAAGTATCCGGTGGAGGTTGACCGAACGGGAAAGGTGAGGTCTTTGCCGGGCTGCGAGACTTTTCCGGACATGGGAGGGAAGATAATCGGGACGTTTAGCGGCATTCAAGAGAATCTCACTATTTGATCGGGTAATCGGTAATGTATGTGTGTTTGTGCAAAAAGTTCTTTTTTGGGTTCATTTGATTTTCACCCATTCATATCTTCAATTTTGTCCTGTATGTGTTGATTGGAAACTGGTTTTTTACAACATTAGATACTCTTTTAGAGTGTGCTTGATGAATAATGATCCAATATGAGTTTGTGATCATATAGTTATCTTTCTCTCTTATGTTTATTTGGTTGTAATTCTCGTCCGATCTTCCGAATCCTCGTGACTTCATCACGAAAATCATGAGGTAACCTCACCGGAATATGGAACTTCACGAGGGATTCGTAAGCTACAACTAGACACTAGAGATGTATTGGTTGATGCCACAAAATTTCGAGCGGGAATATCGTGAGAGGCTGCCCGTCGAGGAGTCCCTCATTAAGTATGCGTTCGAGTCGAATAGGAAAAGGAATGAGTTTGGATGAGTTTGCCTGAGAATGAGAGAGGTTTGGATGAGTTTCCATTGTCATAACAATCAAAATGCACCAAAAGGAAGAAAACGAAAATGGGAGAAAGATATGATAAGAAAAGGAATTGAAAAAAAAAAACAAAAAAAAAACAAAAATACTCGTTTTGTTGAGAGTGGGATTCGAACCCACGCCCTTTCGGACCAGAACCTTAATCTGGCGCCTTAGACCAACTCGGCCATCTCAACTTTGTTGAATGCCAAGGCCTCAATTTTAAATAATTATAAAATAATTAATTAAAACAGTGAAGAATGAGTTGTAGAACAATCAATCAAGATTGTTTTTGCTGTGCAATATTTTTCGGTTATAAATATACGGTTCGTTTACTTCATCAACCACAAAGGAGTCGACTTATTGCAGAACAGAACAATTCTCGTGTGATCCACAAAATAAATAAATAATTAAAGATTTGCGTTTTCTGATGGACAATATCGCTGGTTGAAATACGAAAATGTGTATGCTGCTCGAAAAAAATGGAATAACCGGAAAATTTTTTATCGTTTTCGTAAAGAGGTTTCAGATTAGTGGGAACTCAGAACAGATGTCCAACCAAAGAGTGGATTATTTAACCAACATTTAGTTGTGTTTTCTGTTTAGTACAAAAACAGGAAATGAACTAAACTGCAATTACAGGCAATTGTGAAATGAATCACTTTCTTCATATGGTGTTTTCTGTCTGATAAGAATGCTCTTAATACATTGAATTGTTATCACCATCTCTTTGATTGCAGCCTAACTTCAAAAGCAACAGCTTATAGAGAAATACAATGAACTCTTAGATATTCACTTGTTAGCATTAAAAAATTGATGATAGACAACATAAAACAAGTGACTCACAATTAGAAGGAAAAGAAAAACCCTCTTTTTTTTAGGTAAATTTGCCCATAATATCACGACTTTTATCAAAATTACAATGTAATCATCATTTTTTCACTTTTACAAATTATCTCACAATTTTTAATTTGTTGCAAGTTGGTGCACGGATTCTGAAAATACTCATAAAAAAACTGATGTGGTCGAACAAGAAACTGAAGAGCGTGATATAGTTTGCACGGGATATGTAAATCGGTGCATCAATTTGAAACAAACTGAAGATTGTGATATTATTTGCAAAAACGAGAAGATCAAGATTAAATTGCAATTTCGAAAAAAGTCAGCCATATCAAGGGCAATTTTGTCTTTTTTAAGAGTTAGCAGATGCAGATACAGAAGAACACAGTCATACAGATAGACATGATGACTTCAAAACAGAACATAATTCAAAGTATCTTCATGCATAATTCTCCAGAACTTTCAACCAAGTTAACATTGATTTTCAGACAGGCCAAACAAACAAGTGCTTTTTCCAGAACAATATTTAAAATAAATATTCCAGAAAAAAAAAAAAAAAAAAAAAAAGGGTGCCACCTGCAACAAGTTCAAATCTTTAACCATACACTTCATATACTCTGCAGGGAGAGAGACAGAGGAGGAAAAACGACCCTCGTCGACAAACAAACTCAAGTCCCGATTCGCCATTCTACAAACAAACACTAAAACTACTAAAAAAAAGATAAAAAAAAAAAAAACAGACATCCTAACAAAAGAGATCGGTCGCAATTTAAAAACTCTGTAACCTCTCCCTGTACTCGGTTGGGTATATCAACACGGAATCTACACACACGCCGCCTTTCGTGTGCGTGCAGTCAATCTGGGTCATTGAGAACTTGACCTTTACCGACCTGCAGTTGTTTTTACCGACGGTAAAATCCCCGGCGTGATAGTGGGCCCACTTACCGGGTTCCTTCGAGTTCAAGTAACACTGTTTAGTCGAATGATGCCCGTCCGAAGTCGAGAGCTGGAACCGAACGGGCTTCCGGTCCCAGCCATGAACGTGCTCCGAGTTACATAAACGCCGGCCGAACCTCTTGTGCGTGCGGCCTAGCTGCAGTCTGAAAAAGAGACTGTACGAGCCAGTTGGGAATGGGAAATCGAGCTCGCCATCGATTTCGAACCACCATGTTTGCTGGAGGTACGACACTAACGAGAATCTAACAAAAAACAAAAAAATAGGGGGAAATTTGGCAATGAGTAGAGTTTTAAATCATGATAATTCATCACAATTCAAGCAAAAAAAAACACCTAGAATGATCTTATTTGCTCCTTTGAGTTATTAATAACAAGTGCAGCTGGACACAACTGATTCAGCTTATATCCACAATGTTTTAGGTCTAATTGTGCGTATGTGGCAAAGAAATGGGCGTAAGTCTTGAATGACTTGAGAAAAACAAGTAAAAATAGTCAAATCATTCCAATTCGAAAAAAAACGGGTCTCTACCCACGTCTCGGAGTAGAATTACGGGTAAACTGGGTCTTCACATCAATTCAACCATGTCCATTTTCAATTGCATTGGAGAACATCATTTTGTACATTGAGTCTATTTCACACGAGGCAACAATTTTTTTTTCAAAGTGACCCAAGACAGTGTGAACATTAGATGAAAAATGAAAAAAAAATTACAGAGTTATGATTAATTCAAATACTCACCTTGATCCTTCCATTGGAATGCGGCTCCAATATCTCCGGTCATCGATCCCTGTAATCGCCAACCCATTTGATGATATCAACATACAAGTCTTGCCTGTGTTCTTGTCCAACCACACTTTCTGCATAAAAATCCAAATGTAAAGAGCTCCTGTTAACAATTGTCTTAATCCCCCCATAAACCCTTTTAAATCTCATCACCAAACCAAATAAAAACAAGGGTCTCTCAGAAACCCCCCTTTTTTTTTCTCCAACCAAACTATTACAATGACCATAACATAAACTATCTTTATCTCATAACACCAAATCAAATATTCAAATCAAAACAAAGTGCCTCATCTCCTTTAAAAAGGAACAATTCACCACAATAGAAAAGGAAGGCTGTATAATAATAACACAGATCAAGAGGGCTGTATAATTCCTCAATTTTCCCTAATTCAAACCTAAACCCAAATAAGAGGGATGCATAATAATAACACAGATCAACAAAAAACAGCAAAAGAGATCATACCTTTGTGCCACCATCCAAATAATTAGGCATACAAAGCCTGGAATATATATCCCTCTTGCGAAGACCTTCGCAAAAGCCTTCATCTTTCTCAAACACTTTACCAATAACATCACCATAATTCGAGGGCAGCTTCGACTCCCAGACGAAATCCGCCGACGAAGCCCCCCTAAAAGCCCGGTTCAGCATCGCCATCCGGCAGATCTGCGGCGGGTCCAGATGCGCCAGCACCGTGGCTACGCAGCTCTCCGGCAGGTCCCCCAACCCGGTCCCCAGAGACCGGTCTCCGGCGGAGGTTCTGCCCCAACCCATTACCGAAAACGACGAACCCATTTCATAAGAACCAATGAAGTTGAGAAATTTTGGGGAAAAAATGGAACTTGTCGATGAGGATAGATATAGAGAGAGAAATTGAGGATAATGAGAAAGCCATTTGAGTGTGTGTATATATAGTTGGGAGATGTAAACGTACGGGTGTTTCTCTGTGTGTTTTTTGGTCTTTCATTTAATATTTTTTTTTTTTTTTTGTATTTTAATTTAATTTTTTACATAATTATGGTTGGGATTGTATTGAGAGTGTGTGATTAGTTGAATAATTTTTTGGTTTTATTATAAATGCTTTTGGAATTTTTTTATTTTTTTTTTGTGATTTGATATGACCATTTTGTCCTCCTTGATTGATAATTGTTTTTGTAGTAATTGTCATTATGTAAATTAAGACATTTAACGGATTCATTGTACTTGGAAAATATGATTACTTTAAAGATAAAGATAAGATTATGCGAATAGGATTAAACTTATGTTTGGTAGACAAGTAAGTTAGTTTATAGTTTATTTGATTAACTTATAAACTCTTTGTATTCAAATAAAGCCTCATTTGGTAGGCCGGGAGCTTATTTGATAAGCTTCTTTGAGTAGTTTTTCAAATAAGTTAGTTGAATTTTTTATTCCAACTAACTTATCAACTAATTTTTACCTAACACTTTTATCATATAAACTTGTTTTCATCTATAAGTCATAAATTATAAGCTATACTCTAAAAAATTACTGATAAGTTATTAAGCTAGCTTATTAGCTATCAGCTAGCTCATCAGATAGTTTTACCAAATATAGTTTAAATATGCATTGAAGGTAACACAAATACACAATTGTTGGCATTAGACCTAGCGGACTGGTTGTGGTTCAACTTGAAACCGACGGCTAATATATCGGACACGGAGTGGCCGGTGACCTTCTCTATTGTGTATTGGCGGATTTGGTCTTGACGGGATGCGACTATTTTCTCTGAAATTTCATGGCGTGTGGATGCTAAGGTAAGTGATAGCCGGCGACGAGTGGAGGGGTCCCTAGACGCGGCCGCCGGTTTTGCGAAAATTGGTTCTCTAGCCCGGCAGTACGAAACTCGCTTGATTCATTGGTCATTGCCGCCACCAGACTGGGTTAAGGTTAATACGGATGGGGCTTTTTCATCCCATACGGGTTGTGGATATGCGGGAGGGTTGGTTCGCGATGCCCAGTGCCGCTGGCTCAGAGGATTTATGATGAATGCTGACATTTGCTCAATTACTGGAGCTGAACTGTGGGGTCTCTTTCATGGGCTATCTCTAGTGTGGGCCTTAGGTGCCCGGAAGGTGGTGACGGAAGTTGATAATAGTAGCGTGCTTACTGTGGTTATGGGGAGAGAGGACGTGGGTGGGATCCATGATAACCTTGTTCGAGCCATACGAGAATTACGGGATCGTGAATGGTCGGTGGAGTTAGATCATGTGTTTCGGGAAGCGAATTTCACCGCAGATTATCTGGCTTCTTTAGCGGGACCGAACCCTAGGGGTGCACCATCTTCCAGTCCCCTCATCGCCTTAGGCAGGTGGCTGGAACATGATATTATTGGGATGACTTACCGTCGTCGCGTTTTGTTTTAGCATCCATTAGGCTTCGGCTTCCACCTCGCTTATTATACCGAAAATATATATATATATATATATATATGTATATATATAATAATTGCTAATATGTGTGTTTTTTGTAGAAAAAAAAATAACAATTATTGCTTATCCGGATGTTTCTGCAAAAAGTGAGTATGAACATTATAAGCATTAAAAAATAAGCAAATTTATTTCATTACTTACCCAAAATAAAGTAAATATAAAAGAATTATTATGTAGGCAGCTTTCGGCTAGCTACACCAATCGACTGGTAAATTCCCAACACAAGGTTTCCAAAACAAAATGCCCCCACAATTAATAAAATATCTACACAAATATGTTACTATTGTCTCAATCTCAATGATTGACTAATATATCAATAATTTCAAATACATTGGATGCCACGTAGTATCTATGTATGTATAGATCATCGATACACATTATAACTTTTGGGAGGGAGATGTTACGGTGTTGTTACGGAATTATTCTGTCGAAGTTTGTAATCGTTAGATCAATTATCTCGACAGTTACATAATGATCTAACTGTTACAAACCTCGACAGAATAATTCTGTAACGTGATCGTAGCATTTCTCCTTTTAAAACTATTGTGATAGGTATTTTTTTTTATTATTATTATTTTGGGTTGCATGTGTATCAATTGAACTAAAAAATAACCAAAACAGTGGAGTGGTTAATATAAGACATTCTTAGTTAATCTACAAAACTAACTCAAGAGTGAATCAAGAGTGAATTGTATTCTAGAATTTGAGGTGAGACTAAAATTAGTTATCTAAAGTGTGTGCGGTGGTGCTGCAAATCATCTTAAAACTACGAAACGAAATGAGCAGCTTGTAAGATTAGCCATAAGTATGGAGCCCCTATAGTTAATTGATTAAGACTCGTTAGGCTCTATTATAATAATTTTTTTAAGTAATTTTTAGAATTTTTAACTTAGTTCAACTCGTTAATACTCGAGTTCGACTCATTCATTTTGACAAATGAATTGAGATTGAGCTCGTTTATCAGCTCGATTAGCAAACACGATAAAGGCTCCAGCCTGAATATCAGGAGCTCAAACTAGACTCAGCTCGTTTGAAACTCTATTTATGTTTCGGAATTTTTTTTTAAGTCATCTTGAAACTCATCTAAATTTCATTGTGAACCTAAAGCTATTAATTAATCAAATGAGTCACTCGTGATAATTAACTCTTGAGCTCGTTAAGTTAACTCAACTCGGTTCATTAGGTTTAGTGCTGTTAAATTAAACGAGTTTGAATCAGTCGACTCTAGCATTAGAGCTCGTTTGGTTAACGAGTCGAGCTCATTCGGCTCGATAAGGCTCAAAAGGAGAAATTTTATATACTTTTTTTAGTTCGATTCATTAAAGCTCGGGACTCGTAAACGCTCGAACTCGACTCGTTATTAGTGATAAATGAGTCGAGCTAGAGCTCGATCCGGCTCGTTTACAGGCCTAATTAGACTTGAGAATATGAATTTTACGTATTTTTTTAAACTATTAACTCATAACATTTCGTTAAGGCTCGATTTACTTATTAAATTAACTAATCAAGTTCAACCCGACTCAATGGTATTTTGAGCTCGACTCGACTGGTTTATATATACTGGTGGGCCCACGTCATCTGTCTTCATAAAATTAAAATCATGATAATTGGCTTATAAACAAAAAATAAAATAAAAATAAAAGGGTCGACAACTTTGACAAAGTTGTCAATTGGAACAAAAGTACCAAAGCCAACAACCGATGTGGTAAGCATAAACTTGCTTTTTATATAAAAATATGAACAAATTGCAAAACGGATGAATGAGTAAGGTAGGAATGACATGTGGATGAGTCAGCCAATTATGTAAAACCACGTACGGCGTACCACTGCGGTGTGGCCAATCACAGTAGGCCACGTGGGTCGTGTCTGACATAAGTAAAAGAAATTGGAAAAAAAAAATGAAAAATATCTAAAAAGTAAACATGGACACCAAAATCTATTGAATACAAAAAGAAAAATATTTGCTTCATAGCATCAATTTTTTGTGTAGTCCAAAATAGGACTGAAAATGAGACGAGCCTAGTCGAGTATTGACTTATCAATTATGATTAATTTTTTTTTTTTGCTTCTCGAGCTAGAATGGATAAAAAAATTACAATAGCTCAAGATCGACTCGAATTCGACTTGAAAATTTTTAAGTGGAAATGTAAAATTACCATTAAGTACTTAACTTTAATATATATACACCAATTTTTTGTGTAGTCCAAAATAGGACTGAAAATGAGACGAGCCTAGTCGAGTATTGACTTATCAATTATGATTAATTTTTTTTTTTGCTGCTCGAGCTAGAATGGATAAAAAAAAATTACAATAGCTCGAGATCGACTCGAATTCGACTTGAAAATTTTTAAGTGGAAATGTAAAATTACCATTAAGTACTTAACTTTAATATATATATATATATATTAACTTAATATATATAATAAGGAGTATTTTAGTAATTTAACGTGTATCTTGAGCCTCGACGAGCTGCTCGACAAAGCAATATATGGGTTTGAGCTCGACTCCAGTGCGTGCTCGAGCTCGACTCGAGTTTGGTCAAACTCGAGCTTGAGTCGAGCTTTAACTCGAGTGCTCGCGAGCGGCTCGATTCGTTTGCGGCCCTAATACAAATGACCTATGCAAGGTGTAAATGAACCGAGCCGAGCCGAGCCGAATTTGAGTTCTTTGTACTCGAGCTCTTGTTAGCCAATTCACCTCGAACTTGACTCGTGTTGGATATTTGGTGTCAAAATTACACGGGAATCCTACGAACTGAAATGTATTTTCAGTTCTTACAAATAATCTAAAATAGAAAATTACAATTGAACTGAAAAATAAATTACAACTGAAAAAACGGAAAAATTTTAGCCGAGGCGAGTAAACTCTTTCCGCAAGAAGAATACGCCCCGTGTGGCTGCTAACGGTTAAGGCGTAACTTCCCCAAAGATACAACGGCAAACGTCTCCAAATCTGTAGCACACCAGATTTACGAGCTCCGGCGAACGGGAACGGAATCGAGAATTGAACACTTAGTAATAAAAGAAATATTATGAAACAAATAAAAATATCACTCGTACTTTTTCTTTTGATATTTTTATATCCGATATTTGGACATAAATATTTATTTTCTTTCTTTTATTTTTCTTTCTTCTCTCTTTCTTTCTCTTCTTCTTTTCTTTCTTTCTGCCTTTTCGGGGGGTGTATTCAATTAAGACTTTTAATGACTTTTTAAGACTTTTTAAAGTAGATGACTTTTGTAGACTTTATGCAACTTCTAATCACTTTGGTGGATTTTGTGGGATTGTTATGGAGACTTTTTAATACTTCCAATATGAACTTTTC